TCAGCAAACAACATTAACCACATACAAGGCCAATACATTCATTGTTTTCAAATATAAACAAAGGACATTTGTCATGCAACAGAAAAGAATGGGAACAAGATTTGATGAAGGGCTAATAGGAAAAAATCATTTGAATTAACACATTCGGTTTCCATTTGCAGATAAGCCAATACTGACAGATCCACATAATGCAGACATTTTTGTGACACTCAACCCTAAACGATTAATATGCCACCAAGAACATTCACTTTGGCAACATTCGTACAACAATAACATTCTCATATTCACATAATACACACATTTGATTTTGTGACATCCGACCATATGCCACCAAGAACATTCGTACGACAGCAACGTTAATACATTCACATCAAGAACATTCAACATTATGTAACAATCACCTGTAAAAGATCATTTAAATAACAAGAAATACCCGCTTCCCACATAAACAAGGGTGCTATTTGTGCATTTTATGCAAATGTTGCAATATTCGCCCAGCTGACTGTCTATACCTAGACCCCTTTGTAATGAGATGCATGCTGTATATCTGGGCTGTGGACTGACGGCTATATCACTTACTTATGGAACGCTCTCTTTGGTGCTGGGCTGACATTCTGTGACAGTGTCTTTGAGTCATTGTTTTGTTCCAGGCCAGAGTTTCCTTTCCTTTTTTTTGACGCACGCTTTTTACGATGATCGGGAGTTGCTGTAGGCCCTGAAAAATATATTTTGTTGATGTATCACCACTTTACTATATTTACACAAGATGTTATCAGACTTCATGTTAGAAACCCACAGGCTAAAAGTGTATGTACACCCCAACAATGAACTTCATAGGGTATGGGTAGTTTACATACCCTATATACCCTTTGTTAGAGCCTACATGTTCACGCTACCTGTGTTATCTCAAGGAGTCTAAACAGCACTTCCCTTGGACTAAAAAACAACAACTTCCCCTATGTGAAGATGAGGAGGTGTTATGTACAGTAGTTCAGCATAACAGAGCTGGGCAGGGCTGACGCCAATCATAGTGAATTTTCAGTCCAGAAATGTCACAGTGCTATCAGTCAACAACAAGAAATTCAGAGTGCATTATTGCCAGGATCTACCAGTATTTTCGTGTACCTAGATTTCTCACACAGGTTTAAAGGGTTATTAAACCCTCAGTGTGTTTTTGCATATATCTACTGATAGCAAGCAGTAGATATATGCATAGTTACATAGTATTTGAGGTTGAATAAAGACATAAGTCCATCAAGTCCAACCTATTGCTGATGTATATAGGTCCATGTATCATCTCATTCTTAGGAGTACCTGTACCCCTGTATATTACGGTCTCTCAGGAAATCATCCAAAAGTTTCTTGAACGATTCCACACTCCTAGCTGAAGTTCCAGACCCTAACTGATCTTACTGTGAAGAACCCCCTTCGCCCCTTGTGCTGGAATTTATTTTCCACCAATTTTAGGTGGTGGCCTCTAGTCTTTGTAATGGAGTTAATCTTAAAGAGTTTGTTGCTAATGTTGCTGTCGCCATTGAAATCTCCTTACTTACCTGTGTCTTCTCCACGCGCTCCCATTCGAACATCTGAAGAGTCTCGGGCGGCCGCAAAGGATCTTGGGGCAGACGCATGCGCACTTCAGATATTCGGCGAGGAGACGAGGAAAGACACAAGGTAAGTCTATGGAGCAGCGTGCACCCGCACAGACTCAGTAGTATATCAGAGAAGAGGAGGACAGAGGAGTCAGCGCTGGATCGGAGACCCGCACCAGCGCTGGAGGGACAGCTGAAAAGGACAGTAAGGAAGAAAATGATCAGATTAGGAGACATCATTTAAAGTAAGTCCCTACAGCAGGGAAGGGGGGTAAAAAAGTTTGACTTTAATGTCCCTTTAACTCTCCATTTCTGGCTAGAAAGTAACAACTCCACAGAACTTTACATACATATATACTGACAGCAAAGGTACTTGTGATGAATTAAAAGATGGTGCCTGCAATATTTTTATAATAGAAAAATGTCACCAGCACACCATAAGTTAAAAAAGCAAAATATTTTATTGCCAATAGCTGTATCTCATTGGCAAGTGCTTTCGGGGCCTCGCAGGGTCCCCTTCATCAGGCTTAGAGATATTAGAGATGCAATATTTTTATGTCGCTTGTTATTTGTGCAACTGTTTATCAAATCAATATTTTTAGTAAAAAATACAATGGAGGGGAATTTATCAAAACTGGAGCAGTTGCCCAGGGCAACCAATCAGCTTCTATCTTTCATTTTCAAAGCTTTACTGAACAAACTGAAAAGAGAAGCAGATTGGTTGCCCTGGGCAACTGCTCCAGATTCTGCCTGCTCCAGTTTTGATAAATTCACCCCAAATGAATTTTAGTGCACACAAACACAATATAATCCCTATGTTTTTGCACCAAATAAAAGATGAAGTTGTGCCAAGTAAATAAATATCAAATATGTCAAACCTCAAAACCGCAAAGTAGCAAAAATTTGCCGTACCCAAAATTATCAACAGGCAACGCTTTACAGCTCATCAGTTTAGAATGAATTGTAAAATGAGAGAGTGAGAATTTTTTTTCTCATTCTGTAATGCGCGGCTACACCCAATATGTGTTGCGCAATTGTTGTTTGCACACACGTGCACGCCCTACGCACGTGCTTGTGTTCATATTTGTGTACGGGGGTGCTTTTTTCCTTGTTATTTTTTATTTATTTTTATTATAGTTTTTGTAACATTTCTTTTTTCACTAAACTTCATTGCTATCACAAAGGGGCTAACAAGCCCCCATGTGATAGGTATTGGGCAGGTGACAGGTTCTCATTATGGTGGCACGATAGCATAGGTCCTGTCGTACTCCAGACTGGAATCCCAATGTAATCAAATAGGTGTTGGAATGACCTGCAGGTGGCACTGTGCAGATCCAAATAGAAGAAGATAGTCACCTGCATACCAGGATCCAATGTATCAAAGCGCCTATATTAGACGCTAAGAATACATGGCATCACTAAAGAATGGCAATTCACAAGTGTTGTTGTGTATTCTTCGTGTCTAATAAAGGTGTATTGATACATTGGACCCTGGTATGCAGGTGACTTCTTCTTCTATTAGGTTTCTCGATGGAAACATCAAGGGTGTATTAGAGCCCTAATATCTCTCTTGGGCTCCAGTCAATCAAGCTCAAACTGTGCTCAATCTGCTGTTTACCAAGGTTTTTGCAGTAGGGATTTTGACAGTTCTGAACCCAGAAGTGCTCAGAGCTGAGCACTCCCAGGTTCACACTCTGCAGAGGACATTGGGTAATGAAGGTGGAGGAGGGGGTCAGCAGCCTGCAAGGTTACAATACATATACAATTTTGCTCTTGCGTTGTGTGAATGAGGCTTAGCCTGCTGTACTGTGTAGCACAGTGATTAAAGGGATAAAACCTGGATCCATGTGCATGTACTGCAGCGATGTACTGCAAATGTTTGTCTCTATTTTGCCCTGACATACACTTTGACCTACTGTTGGCCTGTTATGAAGACTATTTCATATATATTCATCTCTTTATTTAAAATACACAATTGCACATGTGGTTCTGTAGTAGATTACCTGCAGGGGATGGGCAGTTATCCAGCGTTAATGCTTCATTTAACTCTGCAAGAAACAAAAACATTTAAATTAACCAGTTAAACTCCAGAGCCACTTTCACATTCATCTGTGGTCCTATTGGTTTGGCAATAACATTGCCATTACTTATCACACAGGTAAGACATATTTTTTCTTTTTTGGGGACAAACAAGGATTTTTTTTTTTGTAGCATTGACTCTCATAAATAGTTTAATACTGTAAATGGGAAAAAATAAAATAAGATTTTTTTTTTCCAGTTTGACCAGTGATAATTTTTAAAACAAGTATTCCAATGCTATATATACAAAGTACCACATTTACCTTTTCTAGTTTATTTTGACCCTAAAATTATGTTTCTGATAGAAAGGTTGGCATAGTTATTTACAAATGTGATAGAAGCTTTCTTTCTCATCCATTGAGGGGCACATGAAGTCTTTTATTTCCAGGTTGTAGGCTGCCTACGGGAGGACTGGACACAGAAAAAGAAAAAAAAGAATACTGTAAGCCAGCCCATAATAACCGCTCTTACTGCCAGCATGATTCAGGTTTTTTTTTTATTGTCCTAGAAGGATGATGGATGACTTTTCTCTGCTATGTTAAGGACTAACCTAATTTTTCATTAGCACTTTTTTATCCTTTCATATTTTCTTCAACCAAGACTCTTTGTTACAGGGGTGGGCAACATCGGCTTCATAACTTCAAATCCCATCATGCATCTGGTAATTATGCTTATGGCTGTCAGAGGTTTGCATTGCCTCATCTGACTTGTAGTTCCACAACAGCTGGAGTGCCAAGGTTGCCTACCCCTGGTTTATTGCGAGTTGTTCCCCCAATTTCAGTTATCTGGTGAAGTTGTCCTCAGCCTGGCTTTTGGAGTAGAGACCCCGCTGGCCCCGAGTGCCTATGCTATCTGCTGGTTGGAGTGTGTGAACTAGGGGATCAGCCTGTTGCTTTTACCAGTGCTGTTTCAAGCCTTGGCTTGTTTAAAACTCCTAAAGCTGCAAAAACCTTCCCTTTGCACTTTCTTTTTCTTATAGAGATTGAAAGCATCCTGATAAGCTGTTTCCTCCTGCTAAGTGCTTATTTGTCTTGCACCCTTTTAGTTAATATTTTGTGCAAAAGTGGTCTATTCCCAATGTGGATCCGACAGTGTTGAAGACCCATTCCTACAGGTCCTACACTTTATTCAATTCTGGTTATCACCTTAGCCTGTCAAACCATATCTGACTAGTCAAAATTCCTTAAAAAAGATATAACCAATGCTGCAGTTAATCCCTCGATTATAGAAGACATAAAGCAGTGGCTGTAGCATTACATTTCAGCTGTGACAGTCTGCTGGAACATTACCTTCTCATTTTTTAGTACATAGTGCTCTTTGCCTAAAGTGCTAGACTGCAGAACCTTTGTGTAGAAAGCTCTTGATCTGAATGGCCTTCGAGAGCCATCTTTCTGGGCCATCTGTGCACCAGTTTCCCATTCCACAATCTATAGGTGGCTCAGACAGACGGCTAGCCTTCATGTATTTTGGTTTGCCAGTGTCCAATCCTTCTGTATGCGTCAGTATAGCCCAAAGGTTAAAGACTTCCGGTGTCCCTCCATGTACTACAAGAATACGGTTTTACAAAAATCCAATTTTACTTACATTTGGCATATGTCTTATTAATTCTAATGCTAGCATAACATGTATATGCATTTTTTTTCCATGTGCTGACTTCTTGTAACTTACTCTGCAGGATGACCCTGAGATGGGGAAATAGGTTGAGGTAGAACTGACAAAACGCATAGGCACACAAGGCTTCTATGTCATTCCTCTGCTCAATGAGACACAGAGCTTTGTACAACACATCCTTTGTGGGACTCTTGTCAGCCTGCAGCTTCTGCCAAACAAACAGTTTTATAAATACACTTCATTTGACAGTGTACATGTTACAAATCACTTATTATCAGATACAAGAAAAGGGAAATACTATATATAAATATATATATCTATAGATCTATAGATATATATATGTATATCTATAGATATATATATATATATATATATATATATATACACACATAAACAATGATTAATGAACACATAATGTTGGCTGGATGTAATGTTCCACCATAAATCTACTACTAAGGCATATGTAAATATTTTTTATACAACTAGTTGGATAACATATGTTTACAGTATAAATAAAAGAAAACCTTCCTTATAAATCTACTGATTTCATAATATAAAAGATAAAGCTAAATCAGGGTGCTGCCACAGGTACCATGCCTCTAAGTTCAGGTTTTTGAGATTTGGTTATGTTCCTATGTACCCTGTTTTGATGTTAGGTAATTCAGCCCTAGCTTGCCACTTTCCCCCTCACCATGCTGGCTAGCCCAGCCTAGTCCCGGCCTATGCAGAGTACAGAGGCATAGATGATGATTGTTCTTTTCCTTCTATAGTAAGCCAGAAAAATATTTTTCAGTGTGCCAAGTTGGACTCAAGTCTATCCCAGCATTTGCCAGTCCCCAACCTGAGCCTTCTCTTCCCACCCTGCACACTTATTTTTTTTAAATTCACTTTACAGATACATCAAATCCAGCAGGTTATACGACATCATGGTTCCTTACACTTGTACAGCATCAGCAGTGGGCAGTCATTTCTTCTTTACAGAACTGCACCAGTGATGGAAGGTGAGTGCCATTCTGTGCAGCAGTACTATGGACCCAAGCTAGAATAATAATTTATCCCCAAGGAGGGTGTCTGTAGTAGGGTGCTGTGTGCAATCCGCAGCAACACTCGGCAAGCGTTAACACCACTAGGCTGGGTGACAGCCATTGGATTATACACTAACTTCCTGGTTAGCTGTCAGAAGCAGCTTGCCCTTCCTAGCCCAATTGCTCCTTACTCCAGGAAACCAAAACCTTCCTTCTGACACCAGCTCCGGAGCCACTTGTTAAGCTCCCTCAACTCGCGCTGTCTTGCCCATGTTGACTTGCCCATTGCACGCCAGGGTGTCTGTAGTATGGTGCTGTGTGCAATATGCCACTACACTCGGCAAGGGTTAACACCACTAAGCTGGGTGACGGCCATTGGATTATCCACTAACTTCCTGGCTAGCTTTCAGAAGCACAGCTTGCCCTTCCTAGCCCAATTGCTCCTTGCTCATGTTGACTTGCCCATTGCGCGCCAGGGTGTCTGTAGTATGGTGCTGTGTGCAATATGCCACTACACTCGGCAAGGGTTAACACCACTAAGCTGGGTGACGGCCATTGGATTATCCACTAACTTCCTGGTTAGCCGTCAGAAGCACAGCTTGCCCTTCCTAGCGCAATTGCTCCTTGCTCATGTTGACTTGCCCATTGCATGCCAGACACTTGATGCTTGACACCAGCTGCTTTCTTGGAGCTTGGACAGTGCAGCAGCATATATGTTCTGTACAGCACAGCACCCCTATTTTACATTGATATAAACGAGACTTCCCAAAGGACTTCCCACTGACACCCCCACGGAAATGCCCACTATAGCAAATATTGCAATTAAAGCTTGGAAATCTAGTTCCCCAATTCACCTATAGGCCTTCCAGTAGGCATGGTAAAGCACAATAAAACCCTGCCCACCACATCCTTTACACTCAGGTGGCAGAAGCGCTCAACAAAAGGTTTAAAAGTTGCTTTTTTAACAAAAATGAGAAGGTGAGCAACATTTGCAAGTTCATAATTGGAGTTATCATTTATAAATGGGAAGGACAAACCTTAGTTGTGCTTTAAATCCATTTTGTGGCTACATCACACAACTGTTAATGTTCTTTTCACCTAACCTATTCAGTGTAGTCGTTAGAAGACATTTGCCTATAAATATGTACGTGACTGCTCGACCTTACAATATGAAATAGTGTAAAAACAGTGGGGAGCACTGTGTATTTGGCTGCATGCCTCTCACCAGTAATTGTATCCTCGATAGCAGTCCTATGTCATGCAGGCCATATAGGAATGGAAACTGTTCATTTATAGCTTGACAGATGCCAGTTTTGGTGATCTGTAAAAGGTTCCGCCTGTATTCAGAACACGATTTCCATCCAGTAAACAGTTCCGCTTGTTCTTCGCATGGCTCTGTGTGGTGAAAGCACAGAAGAAAATATGAAATAGTACAATAATCAGGGTAGGAATTCCTTCTCCCCTACAGATCTGGTCTCCCTCTTGCTGGTTGCCTAAGATATGATTCCAAACTAACGGCTAAAACAATAAAGGATATAAGGGGTTGCAGAGCAGACCTGCGACACATCCAGGCCCCACCACCATGTGCCAGAAGACAAGGCATGGCAGGACACTCTGTGTGTGTTTGAGTGTATGGGTGTAAATGTATAGGTGTGATGGGGGGAGATAAAAAAAAATCAAGACTACATAGTTGATAGCCCAAACTGTCAGAATACCATGTACGCTGTATAGCATAGCTTCCAGTGCTGCCTGGATCCATATTGAAGTGAAAATATAAACAGTGACTTTCTGATGGTAGTTAATTGTAGAAGCATATAACCCAAAGTGACTATGCCCAGGCCTGCTGATGCTACGTTATGGGACAGAGGTAGCAGCATGCATATTCTGAAGGCAAGGATGACCAATGATGACCTTCTGGTGGCACTGGAGGCAGAAATGCTCTGAAAAGTGATATGTACTGTTAGCAGTGTGGTCCTTCTAATATTTTTTGCAGATGGCTTTCTGTTACAGTGCTTGTGGTCATTTGTAGCACCTCCCCATGGGAGTATGTGGATTCCAGTCAACCAAGGCAAGAGGAGACACGGAGAACGTGGTTTAATGATAACTCTTTACAGAAGGTTCAGCACCGGAACAGGACACCTTCATGCGCAAGGCTCCAGCATCCACGGCTACATCATACTGCTGCAGTATCAGATCAGGTGACTAGTGGGATAGTGTTGGCAAAAACGTACGGTGACATCAGAATACAGTATGGGTAGTGTCCCCGGTGGATAATAACCCATATACCCCAGGCTTCAAGGTCAAGGTGCTGAGCACTAAGCCACTTTGACTGAGGCCAAATGTGCACCTAAATCTAGCCTGGTAGAACATTTGCACAGTCTACATATAAGTCGGAGATGGAATTTAATCCTACATAGCAGAGGTTGGCAAACTCTTGCCCTCCAGATGTGCTGCAACTACAAGTCCCTTGAAGCATTGCATGATGGGAGTTGTAGTTGCACCACAGCTAGAGGGCCGGAGTTTGCCTACCCCTGCTATATAGTAATAAAATTATTCTTTAGGAATGCGAGCAGAAAAAACAGATTTTTTTTGGGTGATGAACCCCAAAACACCCCTGACACTCACTTCTGCTCTCACCCTGCAGGGGAATACCTAACACCCTCTGTTGTTTGTGCAATAAGGGGAAGATATGTGTATTGTGTATGTAGTCTTCCCCCCTCCCCCACCAACAAACCAGATTGTTTGTCATTTGTCCAGCCTTGTCCATTCTGGAATAAGCACAAAATGAATATAGGTAAAATGAACCTTGTAATATTTCCTTGAGGCCCGGGTATAACTTCAGGTAACATTCCTGGAATATATATTCAAAGACAATGCTCAACTTCATATCCTTCTTCTCAATCAGAGACAGGCACTCGTATATGACTCGTGACACCGGCCTCCCATCGGCCTGCAGCTTCTGTAAAACATGACAAATCACATTTGGAAGATGAAGATTATTATTATAATACAAACAGTGACGGTAGCGATTGACACCGATCAAAGTTTTACCTTTTACTCCACAGTAAGAAAACCGATTGGCTTCTACACTTTGAACATCATCTACCCTTTGTACTGCCCTATAAATGTAGGCTGAAACATAATTCTTTATTACATCTGCATATTATACTTTATAATACGTGTGGTAGAACATTGGGTGGAAAAAGAATTTGCCTTTAGACAAGTGAATACACTCAGCTCACCTAGCATTAAAAAGCATTTGGCTGTGCCGGCATGACCACCAAACCACTGTATTTCCATTGACGGGTCCATTAATAAGGGGATGTTTGCATGTTCCTTTTTTTTTTGGAGGAAAGCCGGGTGTCATTCCTGGCAAAATCCAGCCAGCCACATGTTCTTCTATAATTGACTGCCCATGATCACTGCTCTCAGATGAACAATCATCTCTAATAAAGTTCCCTTCTACTCAAATGGAAAGTCTAGTGCATATCATGTGAGCACATGATAAAAAAACCAAAACGTTAATGCGTTTCAGCCAAAGAGGCCTTGTTCTTGCTCTGTTAGATTAATGTGAAGAGCTGTGGGCGGGAAGCTCTATACAAAGCTGACAGCACCTGCTGCCATTCGCATGTAATCGAACATGCTCAAACACCTACGGATGACCGCCCGTGGGCGCAAACTGACCCTTCAGTTGCATGTGTCAAAGGGGACTTATAGGAGTTCTAAAGTCACAGCATATACTATCCTTTTATAACAGCACTGCTGCTTGATGTAATCTCCATTTCTCAAGATACATATCCCATCATGCATTGCTTCCACTGTGCAACGATGATGTTACATTTTCAGAAGATCAGACATTGAGTTGTAGTTCACACGGCAGGCTTAGTTAGAGCTGTGACATAATGAAGTGTAGTCACAGACCTGAGTGAAATCATGTCAGTGCAGTGAGGAAGTCCATCCTATTGGCATCTTCAATAAGTCAGTATACAAACCTCTAGATGGATATAGTTATTAGGATTGGGATAGAATGTATGGAAATTAAATACAGAAATACAGATTTATTTATAGTTTTTGACCATAGATATAATTTAAAAAAACTTTTTTTTTAAACTTTACTTTGACTGCTATCACATAGGGGGGCTATCACTCTTTAAGGTGATGCTGGGGGTCCAAAAGACCCCTAGTGTCACCTTTACACTGGAAATAAGCTATTGAAGTGCAGATCGCACTTCTACGGGACACTTCTACGGGACACAGAAGCGATCTGGCGACAGGTGAGTCGCCAGAATCGCTTCTGTTGTAAAGCCGACAGTCGGCTTTACAAGTTTAAACAGACTCCCAAACAGCCCCGATGCTACGTCGTCAGTCACGAAGGGGTTAATCATAGCTAAATGACATGTGAATACACTCAGTTTATCTAGCCCAGGGGTAGCCTAACACCAGCCCTCTAGCTATAGCTAAACTACAAATCCCAGCATGCATCTGCCCCTGGAAGTCATGCCTGGGCTGTCAGAGTCTTACAATGCCTCATGGGATTTGTGGTGTCACCACAGCTGTAGGACCAAAGTTTGGATACACCTGATCTAGCCCAACACATGTGGACAATAGACGGAGTAACAGGAATTCCTTAATACAGTATATACCTGCAAACATCAGAGAGAGGGGGAGCACATATTCTGGGTTATTATTGAAGTGTTTATATGTTTTTTATATAAATGGCTCAATAAAGCAGAAGCACTGATTAACCAGACAGATGCCAACATGTATAAACAGGACCTTTTGCATCCATTGACTGTGTGTACATGTAAAACTCGAAACTGGTGCTTCCTCCATCATCACATGGCCAAAGCCAAGGCATTGTTCACATGGTCAATGACAAAGTCTCTTGGGGGAGTGGCATTCAGGAAGTCTCATACGATTGGTGGCTCTGATGGAACATGGATCCCCTCTAAACAGAGACTGCAAGACCAATGCCTCAGTACCGGACATGATAGGCCACCAAAAGAAACTCTGACTTCTCTAGTAAAGAGTTCAACCTTTAAAAGGTAAGATCAAGTTATATGTGTAGTGGAACAGCGCTGTTAAAGAAGAACTTCGGGGGAAATTATTATTAACCCTTGCAGGGAGGCTACCTCCACACTGCAAGGGTTAACTGCTCGTTTTGGTCTAGGGAGGAAAATAAAAAAGAAGTTATACCAGTCCTGGGAGCCTCTCTCTCCTCCTCCGCTGCAGCGATCTAAGGTCCGTGAGTCATCATGTTCTATACACAGTGTATAGGATGTGAGGATGCCCAGGGACATATCATTGCTGCAGTGGAGGAGACAAGCTGGAGGAAGCACTGTCACAGCCAGCCAGCTCTAAAGGGATTGGGCGAGTATATTTTCTTTATTTAAGCCCCTGGACCCAAACAAGCAGTTAACCCTTGAAGTGTGGGGGCAGCCCTACTGCAAGGGATAGTGACCGCTACTGCTGCAGACTACAGCGCCACGGTCTCAGTGTTCACACAGAGCAGACGAAGAACTAACGTTCTTCATCTGCTCTAGGTGCTCTATAGTGAGCTCCTGTCCCCGGAGTTCTGCTTTAAATTAACTGTCACATGTTTTCTGTGAATAGGTTTGTTTGCAAAGGAATTCCAAAGGGGACGCCAGGCCACAAGGGGCTTCCTGCATGGAGTGTCTGCAATATCCGCTGGGTAATGACATTGCGGTACTCCTTCCTGGGGTGTGCTCAGCCTTGTTCTTCTTTTCAAAAAGGAAATGCATTTTGGCAGATCCGGATCCTGACATTATCAGTAAGGACATCAGAAATAAATATTAACACTCACCAGTGATTCTCTTTCAGATAGAACAGTAAGATCCTGCAGTCCGTGTACAAATGGGAAGAGATCTGTTATTGCCAAACAAATCTTCACTTTATCCTGAGCAAATATAATGCTGTCCTTATCTATGTCCGCCGTGACCTGGACCCTATTCCTGTATCTTCCTTCTCTGTATTCTACAAGAAGAACATCAAAACATTATCAATGGTTAAAAAACTAGTAAACATATACAGTAGATACAAAGTTAGTAAAAAAGTTCCTAGATGTAAAAGGTTCATATCAGTTCAGGATATGGGTTGACATTCATGTATCCCTG